ATAAGGTCAAGAACATGAAGAACAATGAAGAATTGATAGCTGGCGCCATTTTATTTCACTGTGGACCACGCCCGTTTTCAAAGAAGATTAAGATTAGGTTATTAAAATAGGAAAATTTTTCATACGGATAAATAGGGGTGACGTACGTGTACAGACAGACATACTCTACTCGAACTAGTGGGCTTCGCCCAATAATAATTAATCTTACTTTCAACCACGCCCCACGGATACAAACGCCCGCGGACTCTCTTATTCCCAACCTCCAGTAAAGTGGTGCTCCCTACCACAGCCATTGGGATAGCATCCTGCGAAAAATAAAAGGGCGGAGTCAGTACGTTGCTACGGTAACAGTACTTACCCTAAGTTCTCTTATTTCGGGCGAGTCGTCTTCTTCGTCTATTTCTCCGTTATATATCCTGATCCCGTTGTCAGAGATTTCTTGTAAAATCTGAGGAGAAAGAGAATGGAGAAACAAAATGATATTACATATTAAAAATCGATAGAGAAGGCCTTACCCTTGTTTTGAGTGTCCTGACTTCAGTTTGGGTTAGAGTGTCTGATTTGGCAATGACAGGAATTATGTTCACCAAATTATGGAGCTCTTTCATAAATGCAATGTCTAGCGGCTTCAGTCTACACAATAAAGACAAGTAATTGAGTCAAATTTGTTAGGAACCACAAAAATAAGCATGGGTGACCCAGTAAAATTTTATGCGGCTCAAATAAGTAAGCAGGTGCTAATGTATATAGACATTTGCTTGTTGATAATAATGTAAATAAACAAGTGGTCATTGTAGGGTACATAAGAAGAAGTACTGTATGTAACACAACATAACATAATGTAATAATACTAGTACAGTGTAGCCTCTATAATGAGGACACCTTTATAATGAGGACATTTTGTAATGTCCCACTTGGTACAAACCTATACAAAAGTACCTCTGAAATGAGGACACCTCTGTACTAAGGACAGGTACATGTACATGTAGTTTGGGCCCAATGGTGTCCTTAATGTATGCATATGTGAGTGAGTGTGTGGGTGGTAAGATGTTACAGTGTGTATTATGATAGGCAGTGGGTTACTATGTGTACATGTACTATTAAATCACTAATGGGCAATTACTAGCTACTAACATCAACAACAAAGCTAATTTACAAATTCTTAGCAAGTCAAAACTATAAACCAAATATCAATATCATCTCTTTGAACCAAATCTCACTCCTCTCCCCCCCTCCTTCTCTCTCCTTCCCTCCCTCTCTCTTTCTCTCTCTCTTCTTCTGTCTGATCAATCATTCTTCTTTTCATTCAAGTTACACTTTAATTAATACTGGATCACTAGGGGCTTACCCATGGCCAGAAGGACTGATAAAGTAAAGGCAGCAGTGAACCCGATGGTCTTCAATGTTCCTCCTATTAATTCCAGACTCGTCTTTAAAGTACTGATCATATTTCTCGTTAATGAAATCAATGATCGGTTGCCAGCTGCAAGTAGGTAAGCATTAATAATAATAAAAGTAATATACATAATACATGTAAATGATAGTGTAACACAATTATGAAGAAACCAATTCTAAGCTCAAATGTTTCAAATTTCAAATCTTTTA